AGCATAGCCGGCGCAACCTGGCACAGACGGATGGGAGTTTTTTTTTATGGACATGGGGTTAAAGTAATTAATCTGGGTGTCTGGTGCTGCCACCAAAACATTTGTAAACTAATGGCCTACCAGAATTAACTAGGGTGGGCATTTGGGCGATGCGAAGTGTGACATTTCGTTTTAATTAAGAGAGATAACAGATAATAAAACATATAAAAAATTTAAAAGGTTTAAAATAGCTCCTAAGTATGGGGATCTGATGTATTCGGAAGAAATCTATTTGGAGAAATCGAATAACGGGAATTAATGTTCTTTTTAAAAACCTTACTCATTTTTGTAACAAATTTGGCTACAAAATATATATATTAGTTTAGAACATTTGGAATCATAATTTTAAGTGAGGAAATCTAGAATTTATTTGAATTATGCCTGCGTTTGAACCAATTTGCTATTTCTTGGTGAATAGCTTACATCTACGTTACATGAAATTGATTCGATGCAGAGTGGCAACCGTTCCTTATATAATAAGTCAAGTTATGTTATAAAACTGCTGGAAATTAGCTCCTGACAATTTTAGCACATTAATTATATACTTTATGGAATCCCCTCCCCTTTTTACTTTCTATTAATACATATGACTATACTACACCAATTTGAAAAGGTCTCTAAGACCTGACATAATCTTTTAAAAAGACATCAGAGCGTGTTGATCAAGTGCCTTCACGTCCAAGGAGGTTTATCGTGTTTTGTTAAGTTTTCACAGGTCCAGAAAAACATTTTATCAATGTTTTCTACTTACTTAGAGTTAAAACCGCGATAATCTGTTTGTTTTAGTGATGTAACGAAAGAGGGTAAAATGTAAAAAAAACATAAACTTATCAAAATAGGCTCAGATTCACACACATCTGAGCCCGGACCACAGCTGAATTATTGCACTGAAGCATGAATTAGAGATGGCAAGACGAAGCAAAAATTTTCGCCGCAATAACGCAAACAAAACGAACGATACTGAGGAAGGGTCATATGTGGGTCAGTCTGAAGCACAAGAAAAACAAAACTTCGTCAATGACTGGTAGTTAGTTTGGGAGTAAAATTGCGGCGTAATGACGGAATGTTCTTCAGATTGATTGACCGTAGCATTAACGGAAAACTGATCGTTTGTCGTCGTTAGCCCTTCGACATTAGCGACGTTATACGCGCATGTGCCTAATCGTCCGGAATAAAAATAAAATGGCGGTTACCAAGTCCTCTCGCGTGTATTCTGAGTATTACCGTTTTTACACTTGCTTCACTCGCTTAAAAATACCATATTATTTTACTCAATTTGTTTTCAAATGATTAGGTGAAGATGAGTCTATAGGAAACTGAAAATCTCAAATTATACCTTAATTCAATGAAAGTATGTTGACTTTGTTTCTGTTGAAAATTCAACAAATGTATACTTTCTATGGACTTGAAAATCATGATGCAAAATCGACGTTCTGGAAAGATTGAGCTCTGTAATTTTGTAAAAACTACTTACTATATTAAAATACTATATTTCTGTTTTCCTTCCTATTTCTGATAAGACATCAGCTGCTGGATTTGGGTAAATATTTTTAATCACTAAAAACATGCTAACTTTTGAGCAATTTTTTTTGCGCAAGCAAATGGTGCTAACACTTGGTTAGCGTAAAGAACCAAACAAAAAAATCTCAATCTTAAATAATTGTAATTAACGAAACTAAACAAGGCAGTTCACGAGACATAACTCGCGGTGTGAATAGTTCAAACTAAACCAAGCACGATAACATTTTTTCAGTGGTAAACATTGGGAGCGTTGAACGGGTAAACAAGAGTTGATTTGTGAAAACATCAAATCGCCATAATAGATTAAATACCATTTCGATGTAAATGGCATTTTCCAAACTAGAATGGTTCAATGACACCAGTAGAAGGTGGCGTAAAACTATAACATGTGTGATTAAGCAGTAGTCTACGATTTGTGTTATATTTTATAATAAATATAAGTCAAATCTTAGTAACTTTTACTTATTTTAATCAGGGTAAATATCGAGAGAGTAGTATCATAAGGTCACCAGTCGGTGCCTCAGTCCTATAAGACGAGTTCTATTTAGAACTATTAATATATCAGATTCATTAAGCAAGCAAATATATATTAACGAAATTAAAAATTATCCAATGTAAGACAACAAATCGGAAGTGACGCGCCATATCACCCCGTGGGTAAACTATTTACACAAACAGAAACCATGAGAACATGTCACATGTTTTAGTAATGATGTCAGGGAATATGTCATTTGTTATTCCCATAAATACACACTTCAATAATTTGTCAAAAAATTAAATAAAAACATAAATTAAATTCATTTCGCGTCTGGAATGGGTTGCCAAATAATTGCGACACTTCGATGACGACACATTTCAAGCAAACAGTGAGAAATACAAAGTAAATTATATTGGTTTATACAGTAATAATGCTTTAGGAAGATAGATTGAAATTAACAATGAACGGAGTTAACAATACTGGAGTTTAAAGAAATCTGCACTGTGAAAGAGGAACGTTAAAGTTTAATGCCAATTTAGCATAATACATTAAAATATGATCTACTGGGCACGATTTGATAACTTGACAAAACCTATAACATACAGTATCAAAACAAACCACACACCTACGCGTTAATAAGTCGTGAATTTTTTTTAATAAATATGACTTCTTGGAATATTGCATAAATGAGCAATTGCGACCAACTTCTTTATTAGAATTTGCCGTATCGGATTTTGTTTATTTAAGTTTTTAGACTGATCTTTTATTACAATATTATCGAAATTATTATTTCAAGTATTTAATTGGTATTGAATTTCGTGACTCGATTCCATCGTCTATATTTCGATTTATATTTATTTACGTGATGTCTTTTAATATAAAATTTCCGGGTATTTTGTACAAAGCCCCCGTCACTAATTCAAAAATGTGAGATTTGAGTAAGACACCCCCGTCAAGTTTTTTTAACTAACAAATTAGTAATTAACCAGCTTGGGGTTAGGAATAATTTAAAAATTTAAATTTCCAGCGCAATCTGCATTACTAACCCTAACTCGAACCCTAACTGGATAATTACTAATTTTCTTATTTTGAGCGCTGGTGTGGGTGTTTTCTGGCGGGTGCTTTGTACAAAAGATCCAAAATTTCCTATATCGAATTCAAAAGGGTATTGGGAATTGGGATTAGTGCTTGATTTTTCACATTAGGCCTTCCAACTCAACGATAACATCCTAATATATTATGTATATATATGATGATTAACTATTTTTATTCACGTGACCCCGAACTGCCCTGTTTGGTAGCAATTCTCCAGGAGTTTTGTAGGCAGATGAATGACTCAATTGGTTAAAAATCAATCAGAAAAACGAAACCTGATTCATTCGTGTACATGGAAAATTGTCAGATTTACAGCATGTTACGAAATGGAGAGAATGTTTTTCAAATACCACCAGCAATTGATTAATCTGTAACTGATCCTAATTAATCACCTGACATAGGCCAAGGTGTGGAAAATTAAGTGAAACAAACGCACGGGTGGGCCTAGGTACATAGCTGTTTCTCATTGTCACAATGAGTGAACCACTGGGCCGATATGCGGTCACATAGGTCGTACTGCCCAAATATCGGAGTAACAAAGTAGTTCTGTACCGGTGCATTATTTCACCTAAACATGCGTAAATAAATATTCATATATTGTCTGACTAGTGTATGATAGAATTAAGATATGAAATATAGCTCTCGTACAATATGGTATTAAAAGATTCATTAGCAAACTTTTACTTATTATTACCTTTCTACTTCCGTATAATGCTGTGAGATTGACATTGCAATTTTGTTCTTGACTGTAAAGTATGTATAGCCCTTGTATAAAGCCTATGTTCCCTTGGCGGACAGCGGGTCGCAAAATAGTCCGGTCACCGAAATAGTATTAATTTTAATTGTATTAAATCATTCATACAATAATATCGTTTATCAGTCGATGGGTTGTTTGGGGTATTAGTTTTGGAGTCAAGTTGCAGAAAACACGCTCCTTTTTTTGTGTGATTTCTGCAGACCGTGACCCGCATGCTTTTTCATTCCAATCGATTTTATAGGTATTGTTTACAAACCGCCAAATCTGCCACTGCGATACGTTGTTGGCAAACACACGTCGCCGCACAGTTTATTCCATGTCAGTCAGGAATGAGCTAAAATCAGCTAACTATACAAACACCGTTGTTGATCGATTCCCCGTCGCATCATTTGAAAGTGCGAGTCAGGTATACGTGCCCAAACGCAAGTGCTTCCCGCGTTTCTATATATTGCAACACGTGGGGATGCAGGCGGCCGATATTTTAATTCGAGGGTATCAGGTAAGGGGGCCAGTGTTAAAAATTCGAATAAAATCACATTTAAAAATACTTCAAAGAAATAGGTGATCTTTATGCGGGTATAGCGTTTGTGTCAATATTCACAAAGTATTTTTGATAAAAAGTTATAAAAGTTTAAAATCTGTAAATAATAATATAGATTATCCTCATTTACTTGAAACAGCTTTTTCAATTTTCGGACTTTTGGGCAACAGCCCGCGACTATGACGCATTACACATCGATTACATGTCGAGATCAAATGTGACGTTTGTGTTTACCAATTGATAAAAATGCAGTTGAAGAATCGGGATTCTTTCTTTGTGGTGATAATTATGCGCACTGCTTATCCTGATTCGTTACAACAAGGCTATATGGGAAATGGCCGTTTGGTCCGACCAGTGATAACTACGTATAATGAAAAAAAACAGATTTTCGACAGAACGGCGATGTTTTAATAATCACACTCGTGTCATCATTTCGACCCATTCATGACAAATACAACGTTTAAACAAGAATCACGTAAATAAAGGTTCGCGGTAATATTAATTGGGGAAATAATATACTAACACACCAACCTATCCTACAGATTTCCTGAAGACAATATGGAGACTAATCACCTTTAATCACAAATTTATTTAAATAATATTTACAGACAAGTACAAGTTCCGAAGCAAAACACGGAAAATATAAAAAAGAACAACACTTTTACCTAAAATGGCGTAGACAGAAAATGGGATTCTAAAATGAACTAGCATGTAATTGCATGAAAAAAACTCACGATACTCCACACTGCTAAGGGGTTCACGATTGTTGGAAATTAAATAATATCACGCTATCGGATAAAACATAACAATGTGCTGCGAAAATGATATAATGAATGCTATATTAAAATATCAGATTTGGGCCAATTTCGTTTAACTTAATTTTACTTTTCAAATAGGTTAAAATATTCAGAATGCCGGACTAAATGGAAGAAATCATAATTTAAAAAAAAAAATTTATTACTATAACGTTATTCAACAATCTCTTATTATGAAGAAATGATTTAATGACTATAATATTTTTAAGGGACCTGCATACAAAATGAAGTGTATATCCATCGCATCACAAACAAACACATAAAAAACACAAAGCGTTAAAATCAGCAGAGAAATGCATAAAAATAGATATATCGTAAAAGTTAAAAAACTGGAACATTTTTTTACCGAAGAGCCCGCAAATGTTGCGATGAAGGATTATTGTAACCCCATGATGATTGTTTTTGGTCAACGAGTAGATTGGCCGCAAACGAGCGTTAGTTGCAAATGCAGCTTGTTCCGATGCCACTCTTGATGCATTTCACACCTTTTGCCCGCGCATTATCAGCACTATGACAGAATATGTCTGGCATTTCACCAGACTTTAGGAAACCAACTCAGTAACGAAGAATAAAAAAACGTGAACCTCAATGTCAAAACATATTGGCCAACTTCCCTCTTGTCAACTCCGAAATGAAATCTTTCCGCCTTCGATCTTTGCATTAGCCTGGTGACACAAAATGGAGGCCATATGTAAATTTTCTGCAGAATCAAGCCAATCCAGATTCATTTTTTGGGTAAATCGGGCGTGAGTACGGTAGATTACAATGTTGCAAGTGACGATGTAGACGTGTCGGGCCCACTGAGCCAGCATACCCGGTTGAACTATCTGGATATCCTGCAGCAATAAGTCCACGGTAGTTTTGCGCATCAAGAATAGGTTGATCAATGAAGGTAGCTGCTGAATGAAAATTTGCACCAGATCCTGTATTTGCAGCGTTTTCCCCTTCTACCGAACCTTCTGCAGTTTGGCCATCAGTTGAATAGCAACGGTAAGTAGACTCGCTCGATCTCCCGGAGGACGAACTGTAGTTGAGAGCGGCTGCACCTCCTGCGTATCCGGAAACATATCCCGCACTCGAGGTTTCGTGGGCAGAATACATTGCCGCCGAATTCGTTGGACTGTAACGGTCAGAATCGGGAGAGCATCTCAAACCGGATGAATTGCTGGACCCATTGCTGATTGGTCCGTTTGGGGTCCCAATGCTCGACGGAGTTTGATCTTCCTCTGCCGACGGAGACGCACTGGAGCGTCTGCATATTGTGTGGTCGAGACCCGATGACGCCAACACGGAGCTATTTGCGAGTCCATCATTGCTAACAATACTATGATGACTGCTATTGTGTTGATAATGGAGACTGGAGTTTTGAGTCCCGTTCACTCCACCGTAGTAATGAGCATTTGTGACCGCGGTGTTCACGCTCCTGTTGTGCAAACCGCTTGTTGCGTTTGGCGACGAACTCGAAGACGACTCTTTGCTAGACGCAAGAATGTATCCATCTTGAGTTGAAGAATCACTTGCTATTCGTTTGGTTTGCTTTTTGCCCTTTCCTTGACCTTTAGGTTTTCTTTTTCTTGTCTGAATACTATCCTTCTTCATTGTAGGAGGTCTTGCCACCTAAAGCAAGGCGCAAAATATTTAAATTAATAAAAATTTCGTTTGTCAAAAAAGTTCTACTTTGAAAAAGTTATCATTTGTTACACTGATTTTTTATTCTTTGTTGTTTAGAATTCGTCAGTTCAAAAGTTATTTGATATATAATTAAAGAGGGTCACGAGCAGGCCGTAGAACGTAGAATGTTTTGCAAGTTAAGGTGATGAAAATATTCTCGTAGTTGTTCGTCATTTATATTGATAAAATGGGAGACATCTGATTATTATGTAAAAATAAATTGGATTTTTGTAGCGTGAACGAATACAGTCACGTGTAGACGAAAGTTGATGATCATTAGTTTGAAATTCAAAGTATTTTCCGCAATAACAAAGTATTTTACAACAGTGTACATACCCCGTGTAGTTTCTGATATAACCCACACGCATTGCATACCGGACTTCCATCTGGACTTCTGCGCCATAATGTTGTAACCGTTGTTCGGCAGTTGGTGCATACTTGACGACGACAAGAATTCTAAAATTAAGAATGCAATAATTAAAATCCGCATTAACTTGGATGACGTGAATAACGCTGTTTTCATTAAAGAGAGAATTTGGATTTACATTATATATACATCAGTAAGATGACATTCTTTGATATTTTCAGCTTACCTTTCCCTTCTGTTTTAATGGCGTTGATCGTCCTTCGCCTCTGAGAAAATCACAACCACTGCACAAGTAATGTCCGGTAACATCACGACGCCACATTTGAGTTACAGCAGACCCACAATTGACACATTGACGATTTTCTGAAAAGTAAAACAGCTTTTGAGTAGCCGTAAGAAAATGGCAACAGATGTGACACTTGTTCTATATTGAGTACAAAGAGATGACTGGTGAATTATTCGCATGTCCAGCCCATAGGAACCTCCGGAATATCTGTACTGCTACTGACGAGTGTGGCGCTGAATTTACAGTTTGGATATAAAACAACGGAACGGGATATTGATGTTACAAAATATGAATTCTGCACTATGGTAAAATGTAGTTACATTTTCAAATACATATATAAATTGAATTAAGTCTCCTACACCGATACAATACGATATATAAATATACACCGTCAAGAAATTGGTTAATCGAATATTCCATAAATATCTTGGTTGATTTACGATCACTGCACTCTAGATTGATACTTTCATCTAAACCAGTGGTTCTCCAACTTTTTAAGCCGCGCTCCCTTTTAGAGTTTGTGAAGTCTCGCGCTCCACCTCAAAAATAACTATAGCTAGCAACAAGCTACAAATAGCAGATAGTAAGGTGAAAGTATGTTTTATTCGAAAAACACGTTGAAAATACGTGGATGGAACGTAGTTTTAAGATGTGAATATTCAAATGAAGGCGGGCAAGATCAAATCTAACAAATATTTTTATTTTCAAATAAATTGTCTACTCCCCCCTTTGTTGGGCGCGCCCCACCGTCTGAGAACCACTCATCTAAACGAAATGTCAAACGGTTTTTACTAGAACGCAATATCATTGATTTTTCTGACGTGGCTGCTACTCAGAGTTAGGTCGACCGCCACCCATTTCAACACCCGTGCTTTCATACATATTTATGTAATTTCTCACACTAAGCGGCGTAACCACTAAATTCATATTACAAAATATAGGAAGGAGGACGGAAGACTATTCCGACACCTGCCTGGCTATGCTGCAAAATTACGTAAATTTATACGTATATAAAATTTCAGGCATTTTTATTTTTAACAAAATTTCCTAATTGCGTTTTGGCTGTTGCCATGGACAACTACGCTTCATTTTGACAATTTATTGGTCATTTTAAAAATCAAATAAACCATGTACACATCAAATAAAAAATGAAGCCTTATCATATTTTTAACAGTATATACAAAAACCATTGCATGGGAGCTAATTTAATTCGAGTTGGCGGGACCACGAGAAAACCATAACATTGGTTCATTCCCGTGTGCAAAAAATTATTGGTCGCCTACCTCAAATTTCTAGGTAAGCGTACGATGGCGTGTGTATTCAATTTTCCGCGTAAAACCGTAGACTGCGTGTTCAAAGTAATTTCGTTGCTAACGTTGCAAACTCACAAATGATAAAAATTTGGGTCGTATATTGCATACATGCATGGGTTGAAAGGGAACTGCACTGGTTCAAACTGCGATTGGTTTAATAAATATATCTACAGTATTCTTCTTATACCAGACTATTGCTGAGTAAAATGAACAATATCCGCCTTATCCACCAGAAAGGAACCGAACCATTATTTTTTTTCCACCATAAGCTCACCGAACGAGACTTCATTTCTTACACTCTGAACCAGACAACTCCATATTAGACTCTTCGAGATACTCATGTTTGGCATATCACACAGGGGGACCAAGGGAAAATATTCAGAACCACGCTTATTCCAGAGACAAATTTAAATCTTTATAAAAATTCGAATAAGTTTATTTATTTTGAACGTTATACATTTAGATAATATGAACGTTTTATATATACCTCGTGTAAACGATGCGTTTTGTTCTTATGTGATCGCCGCAGATCCATAGCAAGCATTTATGGGTCGAAATAAAGTCAGTTCGAACTCCAATACACAAGTCAAAATTGAAAAGATTATTTGAATTTGATGGCCCTAAACCTCAAAATGTTTGTTTTCTCGAAAGCGTCATAACCGCCTTTTTTCAAACTTCGCTCAAATTGGCGTAAACTCTTAATTGTTAAAAAGAAGTTTGTTTTACCACTTGCTAGCACTATATTTTTATGAATGGCGCATTCACTCAGTGAAAATTAAATAACAATTTGCAATAAAAATGTCCATCAAATATACCATATTCGAAGTACGTGATTTATGGAATATTTGCACACGTGGATGGAAATGAGTTCACTTAAATTGCGTAGGCGAAGAGGCGGAAGCCCAAACTAAAACAAATACCTATATTGTTTTTCAATTAATAAACGCTTATATTGTTACGTTAGATTAATATTTTGTCATCGCTACGCCGTTTCGTTCATGGCCCTTTCCGGGCAGATTACAAATAAATTCTTTTAATCGAAGAAATGGGATAGAGTGAACTATACCAAGATAAATATTACTGGAATTTTTCAGTCAGTACCAAAACTGTGTGACATTGTCAAACTGCAGTATGATAATTAAATTGCCACAAGTTTGACGAAGTTTAAAACCGAAGTAAATAGTTTAATTTAGTAAATACCTATATTGAAAAAATGGCGGAAACAAATATTCAATTTTGCTATGTTTGTAACTCTGTTGCTTAAGTTTTGCAACCGATCAAATCTGCACCTTCTCTTACATGGTATGGACGTCAATATTTCAATCTCAAAACTATGTCGAATATACCGCATTGAAACACTGACAGTTCAATTTTTGATATACACCTGCTTCATGTAATATGGAGGTATTTAAGAGATATTAATAAATATTTTTATTCTGGAATAATTGCGACTATTCTATTAAACAACGCCTCTTTATAATTAAGCGTAATCATAATAGAATATAGTATTCACATCGAATTTAATTTTAAAATTGAAACCTGGTGTCGCTTAGCAGCTCAATGTTCCCTTCAAATGGCGATTTGGACCATTTAACCATCACTACACCTAACTAATATTTAGGTTCGCCAAGATTGCATGAAATGAAGAACCATGAAATTATTCGTTGTAAAAAATCTATTGTTAGCCATTGTAAAGCTATTAAATAGCAAATAATAGTTTTAATTACCTTTGGATTCGTATATCCTGTTTATAGCGTCATAGATAATGCAAATTGTACATAAGAAGAATGTCAAAAAATATTTGATATGGCTTTTGCATATAATATTTAAAGTTTGAAAAATGTCAAAATTGAGATAAGCAACAGGATTTTCACGCCTAAGTTTTTATAATATAATTTTGAAACCACGAAAACGTCAACACGGAAACGAGAAGTGCAAGACGAAGTACTCCTCTCGGTGGATTAGAATAAAAAATACAAACACCATTATTATAACAAGTAGTAATGTGCGCTGTGGTTCGAAGGTCTCGGCCTGCAGAAATGTAAACGGCAGTTGCTGCCGTCTTTCTCTAAGCAGTGGCAGCCATGAAAAATTACGAAAAGTATTTTACCGAAATTTCACCGCAATGTTACCCAAATTTCACATGTATGAAAGCAAGTTATAGAGTAACTTGAACTTCGCAAATTTTCACTTTTATTTAAACGATTTGATAAGGAAAAATGTCTGTGTATATTTTAAGTAAGTAAGACTTGCAGTTTCAAGCAAGGTTATCAATCTCGTCATAACTGAACGTAACAAAAATACCACATATATATGCAATTAGGGAATCACTCAGCTTGACAACTTTCAATTCACCCTGACAAATAGATAAATTATTGTGTTGGTACATTCTGAAGGCGAATTGAAACATCTAATCAAGAATATACGATATAAATATAAATCACAATATTTGTTTTCCTAATGTCCCCAAATAGTTTGCTTTTTCTTGTACGATTAATTCACTGATTAACATAAAACACTGTCATACAAACAATGGGGCGGGATTTCTAAGAATTTTCCGACGGAAGACGAAACGGTGTCTTCTGACGATAATCGTTGTCCAAGCGGAATTGAAACAATATTTATACAGAGCTACTTACATTTCTACAGCGCAAAACAAAAACGTTCATGAACAACCTCAAAATATTCGATTAAATAACGAAAACGATATTTAAAGAAAGCTATCATCAATCGAGCCCGAATCACTGCTAATTTTAACTCATTGCGACCGGACCAAGTGTGCTGCGGAAGAAAATTTGTCGAAAGCGAGCGAAAATTGATTATAGACGCCAGGTATTAAACTTATACAAATATTTTGTTTTCATTTTATCATGTGATATTTTGAAAATAATAGACTACGTTATAACGGGTGATAGGTTTTTTCGTAGATAAGCGTTAAATATAGACGGGAATTGATCTGATTAAACGTAAATGTGAATATTCTGTTTGCAATGTCGTTTTGCATATGCTAATCTTTTAGTTATACATGTGAAGCTTCCCCAGATTTAAACGATACTTGTTTCTGTATAGCAAAGCAAATAAATGCCTTTTCAATACCAAGAGCTTTGTAAGGAAAGTAACCCATGTAGGTAATTTCGATTTAAATGAGTATGCAATCATTTTTGCTATATGCATGCGTGTTTGGATGATTCGAGAAATGAAAATCATTAACAAAAAACAGCAAAAATAACCAACAATTTTGCAAAATGAAGAAGATAAATCTTTCTTATCATTGCAGTTGGCTCAAAATGTATTAATTGAAAAAAATTTAAAACCAGGTCAATGTGGAAATAAACGGAGGTCCAGCCACTTCTTGTCCAGTAGAATCACCATCTATCATTTCAATTTAGGACACTTGGTATGTATGATTTTGATTTCGATCCCAATTTTATCTATGGTGAGCTTTTCGGCAATTTCCGAAATCCAAACGTTTTTGAACTTTGTCCAGTGAATTTTCCTTCTGAGCAAACATTTATATAAAATTCTGTCACGTCGCAGTCACAGCATAAAAATGTGAAATCGGCGGAACTTAGGAACAAAATTTTAATATTCTTTGGATGCATAAAACCAAATTCTCGACAAGAAAAGATACGCGGGAGTGAAACGAATAACATAGTTTTTAAAAATTGGTTTTGCATAAGTGCCATGAAACCGTCATTTAATCTGTCAAAACATTGCTTGAAATATTATATTTTCAAAATATTCGTATTTTATTTTTCGTCTCGAATTAAATGAGTATTTTGTCAGATCTATATCGGAAGGGAGTTGTTGCAGATGGAAGTTCAAAGATGCAATTAAAACAGTTCTGTATTGTCACTGAGCAAAAACGCCGTCTTGAACTGGTAAGATTGAAAAGAGGAAAAATCATTTATCGGACCGAATAAGATAGTGGGCAGATGGCGGTAATTTTTATTTTATTTTTTAATTTTGCATGTGAATTTGGTGACCGACTACGTTGATATAGGGTTAGCGTTGTCGACTATATGCGTAGGTAAGCCGGGTGAACCACTTCATTCATGTTGTGATAAATTACGTTAGGTAAAGTATGACCAATCGAGAGTATCTCGCCTTTTTAAAATCGACGTATAATTCAGAAAATCAACGTCTAAATCTTTGTCCGGCAATATCCGAAAACTAATGACAGGGACAATTTTATATGAAAGTATCGATAAGCGTTTGACATGATCTGTATTTATTTTTTATTCCGAAGTTAATGTTTATATATCCAAAAAATGCTCATAAACATAGCGTATATCTCAAACTAAATTGTTAGATTAACAATATCAAATTCGAAAAAATCGTGAAACAATATTGTTGTCGCTCGAGTTCACACGACTTTTGTCATCTCGTACCATGGCCCAAAATTAAAATGGCGGCAAACCTTCTCGAGGGCGTAATTAATTCTCAACCATCCCACAAAATTGCAATCGAGCGCGTTTTCTCGCCGAATTATTTGGGATTGCCTTCGTGGACTTCGATTCAGGAATACAAATATGTTTGAATTCATGAATGTACGTAAATAGTTTGTCGACCGACCACGGCACTAATATTTTATTTGAAATTAATTAATACCAAATGACGTTTTTATCGCATTTCGTACAATAGCTATACATTCGGACCTCCCTTTCCCTAGCCAGTCGTGGGAATGATGAAATAAATGCAAAATTAGGAGTTCTCGCATTCTTGAGGTATCCCTGCAATTTCCCAGCAAGAAGCCTTCCGCTAGTCAATTTTATTCAGGTCGCAAATGTTTGCAAAGACATAATTATTATTTTTACAAGTTCATAATTTTAAAATGCATTTAGGTAATACACTATTTATTGTGTTATATTTATATTTATCTTTAACTCTCGATTGTCGACGTCAGCGTAAAACGGGGGTATTCGAAAATGTTTTTCCTCGTCAAGCTGAGTTTCATTTGCCCGAGACATCAACGAAATCAGAGAAAAATGTTGTTGCTAAATATGTCAATTTTAAATTCAGATCTTTTTCTACACACATCAAAAATTGGTTGATTATTTTGACAAACCAGGAAACACGCAGGAGTAAGTTATTATCGGCCCGTCAGATGACGAACGTCGAACACAGCTGCTCGTGCCAAACCATCGATACCGGGCAATAAATTACGCAGACGGATATAGTCTATCAACTCGAGAAAACATAAGCATAACTCACCACAAACAAACAAGAGATTAGGCTTTGGTTTGGAATAGAACTAGCAAATTTAAACAGCGCAGCGTTGTAGTGGCATAAACTGGCATTCGGATATAATGATAGTTCTACATATGGATTGTGAATGGAGCAGGTTAAGGCCATGCCTGATGTGCAAACTCAATTTAAAAAATATCTAAATGATGTGGAGAGATTGTAACAAATTGTCTGTAAATAATGAAATTTGCGGAAGCGATTGGGTTTGCACAAAAAAATTTCTAAGCGAAATTACGAAATAGACCTTGACTTGAAAATAAAGTAACAAATGGTGTTGCATATAGTTCTATTTGGAATTATTTGCATAAACATAACATTAATGAAAAAAGTACATCATCGCATAAATAATTTCTCAAACTACTCGTAAAAATCGGTCATTCACTGTAGTCCATAGTATTTATGCTAATTTTAGCTCGTAGGACGGATGTTCCCCACTCCAAAACGAACACTTCTCTTCTGTCTAATGGGATGATTTCAGAAGAAAAATTCCCCAACATAACAACAAGTTGAGCAAAGTGCTTCCATGTTAAACAACATTCTCAGGACACTATATTCCATTAATCATTCAAACTTTCAAACAAACGTGATTCTGGGCTGATACGAGCGTCCGTAAACATTGTATGTATACAGGTCATACCGGGACCACTTTTGTAGCGCAAAATCAGTTCTGGATTAGTCAGCTAAAATGGCGCTGTTTGACATAATAATTTACAGCAAAACCGCGATTTGTTAGCTTTCAGTTATAAATTGCCGAGAAAGGTGTTCGGGGCGCGGAAGACACTCAGTCTATTTGCTCTCAGAACTCTCTAATTATGATTTATATCCAAACCATCAGGCGCCGTCGAACGCTACCTATGACCTGGTGCTTCGAGGTGGAATTGGTTAAAATAAAAATTATATGCATGCAAAAAAAGGCGCGACCACATTATAGCTTTGCATCTCGATTGGAAGCTTCAATATGAATATTTGGCTTTCGGTTATTATGGCAATTACAATGCCATAATTGAGTACTGTCCTTGACAATCAAGAATATCGTTATTCAGGTAATGCCCTATTGCAAGTCCATGTAGCAATATTTCCCAACCGGTTTAACCATACTATTTAGGTATGTCAACGGGCAGAATTTTGCAAACGCGACATACAAAATTATTAGAGCGCAATTTTTCTGGTTATTTATTCATTTTCACTGTTCGCCTCCTATGATTATTCAATTATATAGGCCATAGGGCATATTTAATCTTCAGATTACTTGATTGGCAACACCTAAATTTCAAAATTATCTTGAACATATGACCTTGGAATATTCTACCAATAAGCTATAATAAGCTATACTGATTGAACGTCAAACGAAGTTGTATCAAAAGTTGAATAAACACCTGGTACAAGAACCTTCGCAGAGTTGTTGATATTATGAAACAAAGTAGATATGATCAAACACTAGATGTGTTGTATATATTTCATGCATTGCTTTGTCGGCGTTGGAAAGCAATATGGTATACTCCGCTTTGAAAGCTAATTAGTAGCAATTAGTCTCAGCCTTGAAGTATCCAATCAACTTTTTTGCTCACTCTACAACAATTTTAATTTGATTTTTTGAACTACCGATGAAATGCAAAACAAGTTATGGTATTAGATCTAAACATATTCTTGACTGCTTAACACCAGTTCACGAAACCTATTTTACGGCTTACAAATCAATGTCTAAAAACGGCCAACGAACGCAATACTTTTGCACATTTGCTTGTTGCATGTACCGCGATCTGATAGTTTGAACTAAGAATACATTTTTAAAAGTCCGAAGAATACTGTTTTTTTTCCAAACACAATTTCAAAATTGATGGCCTGCTTCTGAGTGGATAAAGTAATGTTTCTATATCCTGAAGACGAACTCGTTACCTTGAACTATAATAAACAACTCACATCGTTTGTCATGCTAATTTATCTAATGCAATTAATAATAACTCACCTTGATAATATTGTAAGGCTGATCCGCCCATGGGCATCCCAATGGAGAGCCTGGAGTAATCCACTGGTCCGGGTCCATAAGCAGGAGTTGGTTGGCCATTCCACGATTCTGATGAAGTTCCGGGATATGGTTGATGCGAAAGTGTAGCTGTTTCTGGGGCATCTGGAGGCGGAGGCAAAATACCGGCAGACATACTGGGTGGAACGGCATACGGCATGTGGATGGGATACGCACCGATTTGGGGTGCGTGGCCACTGGTAGAACTAGATGTAGCACCGGTAAGTTGGTACCCAGGATAAAAACTACCGTAACCAGTTTCACGAGAATATCCGGCAGTTTGAGAGTTCGGTGGGTAGTAGCTTTCACAACGTCGTTGTGCCTCGTATGTATTGTATGCGTGATCTGCGACGGACACGATTCCGCGAGACTCTGCAGTGGTAGATACCGTCTCCATCGAAGAAAAAGTTGGCGTCTGGTATGCTCTTGATGCCGGCGTCTCACTACTCAAACCGCCGAGCTCGCACGAAGATATTTGCTCTCCGACGACGCTCCCTGTCAAAAGATAATGGAATATATTATGATAGGGATCTCGCTTAAGTATATAGTGTTTGAGATTAGATAAAAACGTAGTAAAATGGTGTAAATATTGAATATGTAATGTTATTCTATATTCATAGAGTTTGTGATAGCGGTCGACTGTTTTTACATCATAATGATTAGGATTACTACTGTGGTGATGAGCCTCAGCTTACAAACTGTCAAAAGACAAAAACGGTGTATATGTCAACATACAGAAGTATCATAATAGAATGACACAGAAAATTCAAACCAGAAGCGCATGAAAAAGGCGTTGGAACAATAAATGGATATATGAAATAAATGGAGAAGAAATGCATTGTCATAAACGTTGGTTCAGAAAAAGATAATTCGGTCTGTTTTATTGATTAAACACAATAAATAGTCCATTTATGTGTTACACGAGCCCCCAAATCAGTAAAAAAATTCGAACACACAATTTTGAAGTTACAATTTTTTAATTGCAATAATTACATTTATTTCAGTTCAGATGATTCGTACAATCTGACGAGGATATGCCACTATGATTTTATACCTTTGTATGAAACACGACGTGTGAACCACAAATAACACTTTTTGCAGAGCACTTTGAAACATACCGTTACTGCTCCCAAGACTTGTTCTACTTCTGTTTATATTGTTCCCGGTGCCTGTGACGTCAGAAACACGATCTTCTTCGACTCCAGAATCGACTACAGGACTGCCGCCAACGTCGGAAATCTTAGGGCTCACGAAGGATTTTGGTGAAAATTGGATATTTTGCTGATCTGATCTACAGTACGGCGTGGCTTGGCTAGAATCGTGACTTGGGGATGAAAAGTGATGTGTCGATCCGCTTTGTATAATTCTACAAAATGAAATGATTTGTGTTTTAAGGTAACAAAATGAAAATCAAAGATTGAGTAAATCCTTACAATTATTTTCCAATTTATGCAATTAAATAAGGTAGAGCACATAAAACACCGTGATATAACAAGTTAAATATAAATAACTCTAAAATCAAATTTACAACTTTGAAAACTTTCAAAACATGTTTGACAACTGACATTGATACCGGTGCCCTTACTTTGGTACAATCCGACGAGACAAAGTATTTGGCTAGCACTTCCATTGGTCAGGGTCATGTTCAGATTGATATATGAAAGCGCTTGAATATACTAAACTCCTGTTGCGACATCTATGTTTTCTGTTCTGTGCCAATCAGAATCCTATATAATTCAATGAAAAGTCGTAAACATGAATATGAAAAATAAAATGTCATACTTATGTGATGCACCAAAAGAGTCACCGTGTTGTGCAGATGGGCTTTCGCGGTTATCACTCAAATTTTCGCAACTTTCAGTAGGAGTCGATGTCCCAGTTGTATCACTGTGACGCTGAGAGAAGAGATGAGATTCTGATTCGGCTCCTTGAGCACGAAACACATACGAAGGGCGTGGGTATGGATGAGATGCAAACGGTATCGCTGTAGCAGCCGGAATCTGTACTGCACCAGAGTACATAATTTGAATGTACCAACTTGATCAAATAATATAAATAACTGAATTTCTCGAAATTATAATAAAAATAATCTGAAAATAAAGAATAATTTACACAACATATATTCACCGCAAGTACAGCATTCCTACATCGGCGAAAATTTTTTTTGTACCCGGTGACAATAATAAAATGGCGAATACCCGCCAACTTTATTCGAATAACCCCGTTTAAATTGCGAATGGGGCCATATCTCTCTATATATATTTCTCTACTCGCTACAAGCGGGGAAACGAAGGCACGTATTTTTCCTAATTTTGCACATATGAATGGGAGATAATTAATTAATAATATGAACATACACGATGTTAAGAACATCGGACATAAAAAATACTGAGAATAATTTGTTTAGATGACTGAAACTGGAATACGTAATAAATTTGAATAAGACGCCCAAATCGCTACAGCCCACCCAAAATGAAATCATTTTGTGTATTTATTAGAACACCACATACTATTTTATTGTTGCATTTTTAATAAATTACACATTCGTTTTTTTTTATTTACTGTACAAAAAAGTTTCAATTTGTAATGAATTACTGAAATTGTAATGTGACGTAAAATTGATATTGTAAAATTGAAGAGACTGCCACTCCCAACCACAAATTAGCAATAATAGCGTATGTACGTTTCATTTAATGAAATTCTTGTGACGATATCAACACTGACCCCACTCCCTTGCAGCGACGCTAAACGCGTGGGAATCCGTGTATCTACAGGTTAAATCACTGAATTTGAATATAACGCCCAGTTACGAATTGTATTTCTTCAACTCATAAGAACTCAAACGTGCCTTTGTCTGTTTGTGGATATACGACATAAACAAGTCGATCCTACCGTAAAACTACGGGTGTCAAAATTCCACGGCCCACACACCCAAGTTTCAGAACATAGCTTGTTTATCAACCTACAAATCAAATTTCAATGAGGAGTACATTCGGACATCAAGTACCTTGAAAAAACAGTATATTTTATTAGTCTTGTATAACCTACCTATTTTATATCTTGAGTATAACATTGAGCACAGAATAATTATCTTACTAACGGGCAAACATTGCCATCGCCGGGCACATCTCTGGGTATTGTTTCGATTAACAATAAATTTCGTACTGAAGCACGTTCAAACAGTGAAATAAAGACCGTTATTTAGTTCGCTACGTCAGCCTATTTCGCGGTCCCAATCGAATTATTGAAATTCGACGTCAAATTCATTTGACTTGCGGTGTCCAATAAAGCTCTCTAGACATACAAGGTAGGTAATGTCCTATTGGCCACCCCATTGTGGGGTTACTCCAGTCCAGTCCTCTCCCTGCCAAACCTTTCACTGTTCTACTATACTTCAACCTATGCAGCAGTAATAAGCTGATATTGACCCGTATAGGAATAAGATTCAAACACAGTACCTATTCTAACTGAATTAAATACATTATATATAAACAATCCCGAAACATCTGAATATTCCACTCGCGCTGCGGAATGATTTACGACAACAAGACATATCAACGGAGGTACAGCAAGCGTGATTGGTTTGAGAAAAAATGGCCGAGTTTTCATTTTAACGGACGAAGACACTCCGACAACATTCATATGAACGCCATCTATCGGTGCTTGCCACGAATACAAAACCGCGATATTTTTTTGAAATTGGGGCGGGCAAGCATAGCAATAGCAGTCAGGACCAGTCTGTGAAGTATTGTAAAAAAGGTTTAAGAAAAATACATTCACAGGTTCTTCTAGAAATATTTCGATTTTCCATTTTCGCTTCCATATGGATATAATATCTGCATAGCACAAATTTTAAGCGGAATTGTGAAAACAGCTCCACAGCCAACAGATATATTGTGACATAATAAAATTTACCCAGATCAATATAGTCCTGACGATTAAATTGTAACACAAATTACAGGATATACAAAATCCATCATACAAAGGACCTCTCATCCCAATTGCCTGGGAGTTAATGTCTCACTTTTCCTTTGATTATAAAATGTAGCAATTGGAGAAAAAAAGGATCTAAAATTCTGAGCGTTTTAGTAAAATCGGAAATGCTGAAACTGTATTTTACTAGCTTGCAAATAAGTCTATTTGTTTGTTGTTGTCTTCGTCATCGAAAAAGGTTAATCTGCGAAGCAATTAACGCGCTTGACGATAACCTTGATTGAACGGTTACAGGATGTTTGCGGATATTTATTAGTGCCCCCTCTTCAATGGACCTAACAAGGTCACAAACTTTGTTAAGATTTGCGCGGGGTCTTGAACAAGCTTTATTGTTTATAATTAGAGACTTGAGCAGATTCCGTTTTTAATTAGACAGAATTTGGAAAGCTCTTTTGCTACTTTGTTGTCAGAGAAGTGAAGTATCATATTTCTGCGGAATATTTCGAAAGAACTGATTTTCGTAGACTGAAGCAGGTGGCGCATTTGTTCACACGTGCACTAACTTATCCCGAGAACAACTAACGAACGATTCAGATTACAATCTATTATGCAACGTGACTAGAAAACAAAACCACATATTTTGGAACGATTGATGAGATGTTAAAATAAAAGTACCGCAAACATAAATCCGCAAATCCTCAAGCACCTGCGTTGCAATGGTCAGGGCTGCATGAAGGGACCGAAGCCGTAGATGGACTTTTAGCACCACAAAGTTGAGTTTTGAACCAAAATACACGTTTTTGACAATTTGATCAACCAGCTTAAGACATTGTTTAAACAAGCAAATTTCTTACTCAAGTTATGCTGCTAATTAAGTGGAAAAACCTTTAAGAGGCACAAAGCCGTTAAAATGTATAAACAATTTTAGTATTATCTACCGAAAACTGGTTAAATCTTGCGTTCTATAAAAACGACGAAATTCAAGGAAAAATCTCCAAGAGAGGCCAAGATAAAATCACACCAAGACAATTATTCGTTTCGAGGCAATGTGTTTATTTTTAGATTGCTGGATATATATATATGCAATAATATGGAATAACATAAAGTAGCACGGCCACTGTCAATACGCTGTGGAAAATGTGATGAAAAAATCCCAAACGTCACTTTAAAATCAAACGGGCATTGAAAAAATTGAAACTTGAAAATCCCCCAAAAAACGATTTCGTCAAGATATGAACCCGAATTGAAGACAAATGGATATTTAGTGCATAGAGTGCAAATGGATAACCAATCCAGCCACCATATCAAATGATCATGTTAGAAATTTATATGTAGTGAAGATGTATGATTCATATTCACTTGGCGGTATTGCGTGCTGGGTGCATTTTCAAATTTAACACAGCTAATAGCGTTTTATCAGATTTGCTTATGTTGATATGAAATTCCCACATTTTTACAGTCTATGATATGGATTAAATGCTTGGTAATTTGAAGATGCCCTAAACAAGACCAAATTAGTATATTACGTCGTTTAATACATTTTCTTTTCCATCATTTTGAACGTAAATATTCTATCCAGGTAAATGAAAAAATGACACCAATAGCAGAAATCAACGAGCATGGGAAATATACTAATGTGCACATATTGCGGTGGTAACCCGATTTGAGGCATCTTGAGATCTTAGGTAAACATGGAATGACGCAGAAGACAGGTCAGAAAATTTAATTAATGAACACACTTGTGTGGATTTTAGTCAGCTCCGCATGACGAAAGGTTGGTTTGTTTAGACCAACTATCGTTCATGACAAATAATAATGGAGCCACGACGTCCGTGGGTCAAAAATTATACAGACGTGAAAAATCCCTCCACAAATTCATTTAAACAAATAAATATGTTCCAACGTAGCAGAGTTTTCCAAATCACGGTAATAAAGTACACAAATTATAAATATTTCTGTAACGATGAACTATCGATGTGTCCATACTGGAGAATATTAGAACAGCGAGATACTCCGTAATAAGAGTGAGAATTCCTTTTCCAATATTATTCGCATATACACACAATTCGTGGGGTCATGCCATATTTGACCTCTTCGTCATAACCGGTTATTTTGGTCGCTATCGTACACACAATGTTTGAAAATAATGTCCGCATAAATCCACTATTACAAATAAACTCAGCTGATAATTAGTATTTATCGGTATAGTCTTTGCGCAGTGACTCGCCCGTACATTGCGTAATTGTGGAACATTGCGTAAAAATGTTACCGCTGTTGGCGTATAGCAAGCAGGCCGTGGGCTTTATAATATTTTTAGGTATTCACAAATAATTTCACAAACACGTTTCGAACGAGACGAATGCTGTGGTGTTTAGCACAACACAATAAAAAATAAAAAAGGTTGCAAAAAGTACTTATAATTTGTCGATTGTTCTACCAATATTTGCTGTCATTTTCAAATGCAAAGTCAATTTTATGCCTCCAATGTATAACATTCCATAAGGACTCGAAAATATTCCTAAGACAATATTTGAAATAAAACAGTTTATAATTTATCGAACCGGTTCGACGTGGTATGGATATAATAAGGTTACTGTCGTACTCGCTTCGAGTTAGTTATATTAAACATTAATTGATGAGCTCGATCGTCGAGTGGGGCCTGTTTATATTGCGGATTCACATCAATTTTGCCAGTCTTGCTTGCACTTACGTTACCGCTGTCAATCAAGCTAAAACACATATCGTTATCGGGCCAGGCGGGGAGGGGACCAAAAAGGAAAGCTAATGGCTGGCGAAAAGCAAAGGAATAAACAACAAGCCGCTCGTCGATAACCACAGAGAACTCGAAACACGTCGGAGGCACATTTGACGTTAATGATTTACGACACTCGAAATAGAGTTTACTCAATTCTCTTATTATTTAACTAAAGATACGTTGTGTACGAATTTTAAACGCAGTGATCTCAGCACGCAAAATATTTTTTTGATACTTTCACAAACAACAAAACCGCGAGACACATGAACCCAGAGACTGACTAGGATTGATGCCATTAAAACTGGGTTTGACATCGAAAAACAACGCAACAAACAAATAAAGTACGAAAATCGATACCTGACATACGATATTTTGACATATGTACACGCCATTTAGACATCTTCATTAATCATGTT